GTAGTCGAAATGCTTTCCAGACCCCATAAGAATTACCCTATCGATACACTACATTGTACACTGTGGCTAAGTATGTTCTTTTTTAGCTGATGGTCTGAAGGAACAAAAAAAAGCTAAAAGTTTCAGACACTCTCCCAAAAAAGTCAGTCTATCAGAGTAGTGATATCTGCATTGTGGTCAACCTCACTTCATTTCTATTTTTATGGGCAACATTTTTCGTTTATTTTTAACAGTTGGCCAGTTTCTGAATGAGCAGTGAGTAGTCTGGAACTTTCTTTCTTCAGAGTTCTATACTTTCCCTTCATACATCTCTCCGGTGTGAGCATATATACTATGTACTATATACATACTACTATACATATAGTATACGTATACACAATACAAACATATACATACACATACCATGACATATACATAATATATATGTATATGTAGTATGTATATGTCTTACATGTTTTAATCCTCGTTCAGTCAGTAACAAAAATGTAAATTATGAAATTCTCCTCTTACGAAAAGGTTTAATATTAAATGTTTTCCTATATAATGTGTTCAAATTTTTAGGATGTCTTAAGCGAATTAAGCATAATTTATGTTTCAAATTTTAAAAGCCCATCTTACGAGGAAGGAGAGATATGAAGGTAAGAAAACCGGGTGAATTGGTTCAAGTAATACACATCCCAGGTAACTGGTACTTAGCCAGCGCACTGCCGTACGCTCAGATTTATAGCTAATTACGTCCAATTTGTACAACTCAGTATACTTTTCTTATTCAACAATATTTATAAAAATAATTTGTAATATTATACAGGAGTAAAATAAACATGGGGTATACAATTTTCATTAGTCAAAAAGGTTTTTAATTTACTTTAATTTATAAAAATTTTAGAATGTACTTTGTTGACTCGCTAAATAATGTCACTACTTTTCGGCGGGGGTTCAAAATATATCCAAATCTTTGAATTTTATTATCCGTGGCACCGTTGGCAAAACGAGAACTTGTGCTTTGGCAAGTTTCGATTATATGCTCTTTCAATTCTTGAACGGATGTCGGTTGATTGTTCAGCCAATTTTTCGGGAGAACGGGCAGACCAAATCACCGGTCTTCCATTACCGATCCACCTTGCACGGGAATTCAGAAATGGTGTGTCAACGCGGCGTTTTCGAACCAGATGGCTGAACGGAGCCAATAAAACTGTGGATGTTTGACATAGACCACGATGTCTGATGTTGAAGAAAATGAATATTTGACTGAAAATCGGAATAAGTAAGACGAAATAAGCTTAAGAAAATAAAATATTTTTGTTTTTATGAGGTCATATCAACCTTCAGGGTGCCGGTGTTTTTGAATGCAGGGCTGCCGCTGGATTCGAACCCGGGACCTTTACCTTACAGTGATGAGTGCCGTGTCAAGGCCTAAACCGTTGCGGCCACCGACGCCCCCCTATAACTAAGATCATTTCCATATTTGTGTGTAATTTACATAGAAGTTTCTAACTTCGTTATATCATTACATTAAAAATTGTTGCGCTCGCCCAAGAACAATAAGATAGAAATCTTGCTAAAATTGTAATATTATTCTAGTCTCTTGTAACTTCCAAGCTAAACTAACTTACATATCTTGTACACACGAATACTCCGGATCATGTTATGGAGTTGAAGAAAAAATAAATTCAATTGTTACTGTCAAGCTTTCGACTTATTTTAAGTTATCATCAGGCAAAACAATCTTAAATATGCCTACAGATTGACAGTGTTAAGTTTAGTTTTTTAGTTTGAAGATCAGACCAAATAATAAGTAGAAAAATACACAATCTGCTGAAACTACTACATTCTGAACTGGCATTGGATCACTTACTGGGCCAGTAAAAAAGAAATAGGAAGTTTATCCCTGAAGAAGATGCAATGGTGAAACGCGTTTCTGTAGTTCAACAAACCCGCGAGCGCATACGAACTCAATATGTGACCCTATGCCGGTTCAGCATGAAGTATCGACTCGCAGACTAACACCTAGCATCAATTTATAATTTTTTTAAAATTAAAGAATCATTTATAAGGCCAATTCGAAAAAAAGACAAGTCGAGATTTTAAGGAATATATATATTTCGTCAGGACTTTATACCTACCATTATTAATTTACAACATCCAGCATCAACTGAAATTAAATTGTTTGTTTTAATTTTCCGCTCGCTCATAAATCAGCTCAATAAATTTTAAAAATTGGCGTTTTTTTGAAAAGCATCACGATTATTCAATTCCCATTAATCACGTGCCAAAGTGAATCAGTTTCTTACTCACGTAGGTTTAAGAAACCCGTAGGGTGGATCTCATCAAAAACTGGAATGATTAACAACTTTAATGAGAATGCGTTGATTTAAATTGTTCAATTAAAGTCAAGTAATCACAGTTCGTTGGAAAATTGCTTAATCCAAGTCATGTCAGAGTCCAGCATATATCAAAACCTATGAGCCTGCCAAGTCAGGGGTATCTGTCTTTTCCCACTTGTTCTTAATGAGCAAAACCCACCCTCACATAAATATCTACTTCCATTTCAATTCACTGTAGGCGTGTTTGTAAGCGTTTTGTTATTCCTTTTTTTGGAATAAACGTTTCTGGTTTACTTTTGGATCAAAAGTTCAATTTCTTTAACAGGTACTACAAACCTTTTTAACGGCTCGGGTTTCGTTATGTGGGACAAGTAATTTTTTATGTAATATATATAAATTGTGATTATTCCTTCATATTGTAGTTATGCAATTGTAAGTATTAAAATACTAAATATGAAATGCCTCACTCCGTTAGAACCTTTTTAGAATTGACGTGTCTCGCAAATTTTTAAATGTGGTCAAGTAATTAAAAGAAATTAATAGCTAATAAACTGTTGCTCAAAATCTGATTAGTGCACTGAATTCGGCATTAAAATTTTAAAAATATTAATCCATTTATGTTTCCGTAGTCGATTGACCATGTTGCTTCTTTCAGTCAATTATTTATTCATTCTAAGGTCTTGGTTGAGATAAAAAAATTCAGTGTCACGGCGGGATTCGAACCCACGACCTTCGGCTAAATACGCCTCTACGCTACCACTTGAGCTATCGTGACTTCGATCCTCTTCGACCTCGATTTTTTTATCTCAACCAAGACATTAGAAAGAATAATTAAGACGTAAATGGATTAATATTTAAAAAGTAAAAGAAGTATCACTTCACGAAAAAGCTCCCCGTGTTCACTTCATAAGTCGCTGAGTATCCAATACGATTACACGACATTTGAAAATGGTAAAAAGAGGGAAAATTCAAACGGTTGTAGATTGAGATGGAGAGTTAGTGTCCGAGAAGATGGAAGTCACGATAGCTCAAGTGGAAGAGTAGCGGCGTATTTAGCCAAAGGTCGTGGGTTCGAATCCCGCTCGTGACACTGAATTTTTATCTCAACCAAGACCTTAGAAAGAATAATTAATTGATTTAAAAATAATTTTAACTTAATTGATGGTAAAAATATTTTAAGGTAATTTCGGTTTCTAATGCATTTCGGGCCACGTCCTTGGTCCCGTTTCAGAGTTGACAATTTATTTAAATTGAATTTCTTCAATTTAGTTGCAACTATTGACTACTAAACTAACTAGAAATGCATTAGCAAATGAAATATATTGCATAAAAATAAATTTGTGTTTAGTTCAACAAAATAACCAACATGCTAGATTTAAATTAAAAATGTATTCGCGTCACCCATCAACGGCAAAATCCGTTCAGGTTTTTAAAAACTGGATAACACATAAAAATGTTTGTGTGTCAATACCAAGTGTTAAAAAAAAAGTGGACCAACGTGTATGTACAGGGTGTCTCCCATCGTTTTCTAAAAAATTCTCAACCTAGTAAATAAAAATTTAAACGTCCTTTTTTACTTTAAGCTCTACTTTCAAACACTGCAATATTTAACATTTTTCCGAACAATTTTCAAATTATTTTGGCCATTGTTTTCTAAAATCGAATGAACTTGAACATACAAACATAAGAAAGAAGAAAAAATATTATTATTTAAAAAAAAGATTCACTTTTGCGTTTTTTCAAGAAATTGGACAACTAAATTACAATGCTTGAAAGCAAAGTTTATGTGTGTTGTTTAGTGACAATTAGACAATGATTATTCGGAGATCGTGAGAAGCGGTCTGGTGTGACGTAGGTTTTAGAAAAACATTTTCTTTATCGTGCCAACGTTTCGATTTTTATTGAGATAATCTTCAGGGCCCAAAGTGTTTGTGTTCCGTGTAGGTGTGTCATTCTTGTCTGTCGTGTTGAGAGTTTATGCTTAATTTATGTTTAGTAGAGTTTTGCTAAAAAATTTATTTTTCTACGTTGGAAATTAGAGAAAACCAGGGTGCAAACCTGTGCACGATATTTATTAACTACTTTTACTTTGCGATTTTTTGTGTACTTTGTGATTTATTTTATGTAAAGAATTACTGTATTCTTTAGAAGATTATAAAATAAATATGATAATAAAATAAAGTTTAAAGAAATTATCTTGCATTTCATAGCAATAACAGTGTTCACGTCACATTGTTATTGGGATATAGGTTTTGATAAACGAAACGTATTCAAAAACTTCTTTGTGCGTTATTTTAAGAAGAGAAACTTCTTTTGAAATGTGCCATAGAAATATAGATTTCGATTTACCAAACCAGAAGTTTCTTCGGGGCATACTTACTGTTCACTCAGTGTAGTAAGATTTTTGTTTTGAAAATTTGATCATATGGTGCACAATGCTCTGAGAGCTTTTAACCAAAAAAGGAACAATTAATGCGACTATCCTGCTTATATAGTTTCTTAGAAACTTGGTCTAACACTTGTACACACCGGTAAATAGAACAAAGCTAAAATTATCCCAAAATTTCAGATCTTTCTCCAAATGCAGATCATCATTTGCTAATTGATTATGTAAATTTTTGGCCAAATGAGGTCGACTCTGTTGAAGGGATTATTTGTACAAAAAAGTCAACTCACCGACAAACCAAGGGTTCCTCTTGTTGTTCTCTACAGTGAGGTTGAGGAAGTATTCCTCAAAACCGGAGACTGGATTGGCCTGAGGCTGGACAGAGAGGGTGCCCTCGACCTCAGGCTCGTTCCCGGAGGAGACCAGGTCCCTCGCACTCCATCCGTCAGAACCGATCCATGAAAAGATGCCCGTCGCGTTGCAACGTCTCACAGCCCGCATCACGCCGGCAACTTCTTGGTCCGAGCCAAAAATGATAGCTCCTGAAACAAAAGAAAAACTTTTTAAATTTAAAAATCATTTTCTTTGAAGTAGGCTTATCCTCAGTTCATGTCTGCTTTCTTAACAATGTGGTATTTTAGTATTAGCCCGCAAAATTTTAGGGGGATAGCCGGGCAGTATTTGTACTTCATGTTGGTCTAAAAGATGTTGAGACCCTTAAGCCTTCTAAGCTGACAAAGAATCCAAAATTTATTGACAGGAGTTAAAGCCGTTATAAGGCTCCATTGGGGACAAAGCGACTAATTCTAAAATAAAGCGTAAAGTCAGAATTAATTGTTTCTTCAATATCTTAAATTACTTTTTTCTAACTAACAGTGGGTGTAATTGTTTATAAAACCAAGAGAAATTTAAGAGGAAAGTGGTATGGTATGGTATGGTGAAATGGATACTAGTAAGCGGGGTTTGCGCTCCCCAGCACTGCAGCCTTCTGGCTTATTGTACCTTTCTAGTTCCATAGTTCAGTGAGATAGACTCAATCCAACTCCTTAGAAGTGCAGAGTGTTTGACTGTCGCTTCTGCAATTTGATTCTGAGTTTTTTCAGTACGTTAGGTTAAATCTCCATTGAGCTGTTGCTTCGCATTCGAAGATGATATGAGTGGCCGTTTCTTCGTCTTCCTTACATAATCTGCAAATGGGACCTTCGTAGTATTTACCCATGTTGTGGAGATGTTTTCTCAGGTGCCAGTGACCGGTTAGTAGTCCTACCACTCCTCTGAGTTTGGCACTCTCCAATTGCAGCAATGCTTTTGCCAGTCTTGCTGAGGGTTGTTTCATCATAAGTTTACTGTATCTAGCACCGATAGTGTTTATCCACTTCTACTTTTGTTTTGTTTGGATCCATGCTGCGATGGAGGATTCTATATTTGTTTTTGTTATCCCAAGTATAGATTCGGGGCCTATGTATGGCTCTGGCCAGACTGTCTGCTTTCTCTTACCCAAAATTCCTCTGTGCCCTGGATACTCTTACCCAAGATATCATGAGATTGTTGTGCTTCAGGTTCTGGATATTTTGGATGCATTCTTTGATGCAATTTTGATGTGATTCTTTTACATGCTAATGCTTTAATGGATGCTTGGCTATCAGATCTTATGAGGACTTTTTTGCCAGTGTAACCTCTTTTAAAATTTCCCAGGGCACAAGCATTGATGGCATGCTTGTCTGCATGTCAAGCCAAGGTCTGCTTGAAAGACCTAAGTGTACTTCTCTAATGAATTTGATTGCCCATGTTTTGGACTGACGCCTGATCCGGTTCATTCGTTTGTTTTGGAGCCATCTGTATACCATATCATTGTATCTGATGTTCTTCTGGGTTCTTCTTTTTCTTTATAGTCCGTTGAAACTTTGTAGGAAGTTGTGAAGAATGTCTCCGGGATCACATAATCAGTCCCCATTTCTAATAATGGGTATCCGAGTTTGTTGATTATGGTTGTATGCCAGAATTGTTTAGTTCATTTCCAATTTAATTGTTTCTGGAGCCTAAATGATCTTTTCCTAGCCTCTCCTTGTATGAATATTTCCAATGGAGGTAGGTTTAGCGAAGTTTCTAATGCATTTGTAGGGGTTGTTCTCATTGCCCCTGTGATACATAGGTTTGCTAGTCTTTTTTATGCTGCCTAATGTTTGGGTAGCTACTTTTTGTTGAGCTTTGTTCCACCAGATTAGTGATCCATAGGTTATTCGGGGTTTTATTACTGCCGTGTCTAGCCAATTTTCGGTTTTAATCCCCAAGATTTGCCTAGAGTACGTCTTGTGGTCATTAGCGATATTTTACTTTTTGCTATAGTATGTTGCAGGTGAGGGTTCCAGGTTAATTTTTTATCAAAGATTATTCGTAGGTATTTAACCTCATTTTTTAGTTGCAGCATTTCGTTAAAGAAACGTAATCCTTGTATTTTTATATTTCTTTTCTTGGTGAAATCAATTATGGTGGTTTTTGAGGGCTGAAAAATGATCAAACTTCATTTTTCAAATTAAATAAATTTTCCTATCCTCCGACACAAAAGTGTTCGGATTAGACGGTCATTCCGATTAGTCGTGTCCCGATTAGCTGTAATTATATATATCACACTAATCTTCTAATGAGTGTGAGATAATTAATATTTTACTCTTCTCCTTGTATTTATTAAATAAACGATGAATGAGGAAAATACGATTTTAATACAGTGGGAGTAATGTATTCATAATATTACTCAAGAAACATTGCTTAAAAACAAAGAAGGAATTTAAAGGAACATCTTATTAAAAAATTGTGACTACCTGTCATAGACAAGCTTGTCTTCTTGAATTTTTTAAATTATTTTATTCATGCGTAAAACGAAGTAGAATTCTCTTTTTATTAAAAACCAAAACAAAACAGTTAACACAAATATGATATTTGAATTCAATTATCCTGAAGTCAAAGGTCAAATATATCTCTTATTATCGTCTATATCTTGTGATGTAACTAACATTAAATTAACATTTTAGAGAATAATGTTCAACTTTAAATTTCAACCAGTAGCGTTTGTATTTTAACACCTCGAGTCCTAAGTGCGTTCTGGAACGCAGGTGTTTCGCACTGTCAGGTACGGCACGCGTTCGAAATGCCCCGACCCTTTTAGTTTTCTTTTAACTTTAAAATCGGGAACACACCCGTTGCAACGCTATGCAACGCTACCCGATGCTACCCGACGCCTTGCCACGTTTTGGTAGTGTATGCACATCTGCCCGAGGGAAGCACACGCCACGTAGTCACACAGCGTGTATCACAAATCAGTATCACAATCGCAACGCCTTATTTGTTCTTAATGTATTATTTCGAGCAAAACCATGTAATAAATTGTTAGTTAAATTTTATGAGCAAAACCATGTAATAAATTGTTAGTTAAATTTTATGAGCAAAACCATGTAATAAATTGTTAGTTAAATTTTATGAGCACAACCATGTAATAAATTGTTTGTTAAATTTAATTGTTTTAAATAAAATTATTCCGGTGTTTTGATAAATTTTCTGCTTAACCACCGTAATTAAATAATTTTTATAAAACCTCATGAATTTTTGGTCTCGTTTAATTTGGTTTGTATTAAAATAAGAATGTTGTAATTAATATATTGACAAAATTACATATACATAGTTTGAATAAATTACAAAAATATGAGTGTCCTCGTCTGACGCTACTGGACGAAAACGGTGTAATTTTATGAGCAAAACCATGGAATAAATTGTTGGTTAAATTTTATGAGCAAAACCGTGTAATAAATTGTTAGTTAAATTCATTATATAAAAAAATGGCATTCCGGTGTTTTGATCAATTTTCTACCAAACCCTTAAAATCATTTAAAAAAATAAAAACTAATGAATTTTTGATCTCGGTTAGTTTCGTTTATATTAAAATAAGTATGTTATAATTAATATAACTACATGCAGTTTGAAATAAAAATAAGAGTGTCCGGTTCTTTTGTCTTTGACTGTACTCGATATTACCCGACGAAAATCTGGACCGTGGGATCGCGTAGCGTGCAGTAGGGTAGCATTGCGTAGCATCAGGCAGATGTGCACAGGGGTAGTACAATCTTTTGGAAAATTGGATTTTGGATGGGTAACATCGGGTAGCATAGGAGTGCATCGGGTGTGTTCCCGGCTACTCGTGCAGGTTGCTAGAAATGAACCAAAGATCGTGTATACTTAGTGAAAAAATTTTGCACCCACGATCAATTTTGTCAATTTTTCTATTGGCCACCTACACAACTCCATATTGCGTGATAACTTTTTATATTTTCAAGTTTCGATTTTTTGTTAATATATATTTTCTGTTTTTATTCAAAATCATATAGATCGTCTAATTTATTTTAGAAGTAATACATTGCATCAAATTGAGTGAGTTAAATGATTCTTAAGGTAACATAGGTATAGGACTTATTGTTTTGTAACGCTGTGGTTATTACCTACTGTGTCAGTTTATTACAAACTTTGAAGTTGGTTTAATAAACTATGTATCTAAACTGCGCTTTTCTTGGTTGTCTTGAGTTCCTACTTCAGAGTCCTTAAAAGGAAAAAAGGGGTAAAATATCTATTTATCATATTCTGGTCGATAATTCTCTTTCAAAAATGTTTAGCATATACTTAAGAATATTAGGTATTGATGTTTTTTCAAAACGTTTGGTTAAGTCATAAAAATTAATTATCTAAGTTTAATAATCAACCGGAGTTTTATATTTCCTCCTTAGGTTGTTCAAAATCAGAACACATTTAAAAAACAGTTTTCTGTTTACTGTTGCTAATAATGATAATTCATATTACTTTGACTCAAAAACGACATTACGGACGCCAGTCTTTTTTAATTGAATCATCACCATTAATGAATTTTATTTAAGAAGATTGAGTTAAAAAATTGTGTGACAGCTCTGACGAGTGAAGATGAAATATTAATCCAATAGGCTTCTTTTTAAATTCTTAACGCTCCGTAGCCACAGTTAAACTTTTCTCAAGTTTGTCAGCCAAAATGTATCCGTATAATACTATTTTTTTTGTAAATTCCCACTTTAACGGACACGATACAAGCAAACAAAAAACATATCCTGATACCCAAGATATCATCAGGCTGTTGTGTTTCCCCGCCACCACAAGATTTGAAAATTTTGGCTGCATTCGGTGAGTAATTTTGATGTGATTTTTTTACACGCTAATGTTTTAATAGTTGCTTGGCTTTCCACTCTTATGAGAGGGGTTTGTCATTGTAACCACTTTTAAGATTGTTTATGGCACAAACGTTGGCATGTATTTCAGCTCGAAAGACCAAGTTGTACTTCTCTACTCTTCCCTACTAAGTTGGATGGCTCGTTTTGGGCTTATACAGAAAACGCCTGATCGGGTTCCTTCATTTGTTTTGTAACCATCTGTATACTATATCATTGCATTTGAATTCTTTAAGCATTATAATTAATTTTCTTTTCTTTCTTCCAGCGAATTAAGAATTTTATAATTAAATAGTTACATATTG